TGAATTGAAAGTCGTTTATTATTACATTACCAATTTTCAGTTCGACAATTCAATATTTGAATTAGAAATAGCAACAGATAAAGCTCAACAAGCGGAACGACATTTCAACTGAAAATAATGTATGAAAGGAAACTAAATACACAGAAACAAAGGTAGATGAACAACAGAAAGGGCGTTTACTCAGAATGTATTCGGGTATTTGGGCAGGTGTAGCTTCACTTGAGATTAATCTTCCTTCCAGTTTAAACGTCACCCGTGAAATATTATACAAATTAGGTTCGTCCATTTCATTTTACGTCGCTATAAATAATGTATGACAATTTTTCAAACCATCCAATTTCTGTTTTGTTCCACCGTATTTGCCACACAACTTATCACACATTTTGATCATTGCTCATTATAATATTCGTTGACACAAAAGGAACGATACCACGTAGTCGATGTTGTGTAATAGTAGTGCCTAATAGTACCAGCGCTTCCGGTAAAAATGGGAGCTAGTGAATAATACGATATAGAGTATCCAAAACACAAAAGCCGTTGTTTGTTCAACAACAGTAACTAGTAATGCCTTTTGTGACACTGAAGGTGCCGCGCAGACAGAAGCCTAAATGCCAGGACACCCCAGCTACTATGAGGAGCTTGAAGAAACTTTTTTAATCCGGTTTTTGAACTGCGTAAGGATAAGGGTACTGGGAAAAGCCTCGTCATGTAGATTGTTCCACAATCTCGACACCTTAGGGACAAAGGAGCGATGGTATTGAACATTATGTCTTAACCCTGAGCAAATAGCCTAGCTTTTTCCCAGCAGCTGTCGCTATTCAGGAGATGTGTTCGTGCCAGATCAAATCCTCGGTGATGTGGACTCTTTAGTAGAACTCTAGGATGCTTCTTGTTCGTCAAGGTATAGTTCTGTGTTTTGGAAGCATTAAGCTGTACCAGATTTTTTCATCCCCAAGCAGTGATAACCTTCAGGTCTCTTGTCAGAGAAGAAGCCGCTGCTAGTTCTTCTCCCAAGATCTGCTTGTCACTCCGAATTCTTGCATGTAGAGTGCTGTCATCAGCGATGTAATTGGCCATACAGGGGAAAAGTTCGTTAATATGTAAGAGGAACAATATCGGAGCTAAAACCGATCCGTGGGGAACACCCGCCTTGACGTTGTAGGATGAAGAGGAAAACTTTTCAATTTCGACGAATATGCGAAGCTTACCAAATCAAAGCAATAAAAGTAGCACCTAGAGCCTAAAGTGCCAATTAGCAGGCACAGACGAATAAGCAAAACATAAAAAGAAATGTGGAATGCCTAGCACTATCTCTGGAAGAAGTTTTTTATTCTTCACCCGTCACCCTCTTTATTCTAAATAATAAAGCATATTTTAGAGTATTGTTCTATGTCTCAAAAGTTACCGCACCGACCGTATATTATTTGATTCAGCTACTATTTAGCTTTGCTAGACAATCTCACTCGGCTCCAGGTTCCAACCTCAGTTCCAACTCTAAAGATCTGAAGCTGATTGATGGATATGATAGTTCCTTCGTTCTTAGGGTGTCGAGAATATTCATCTACCAAAAAAATACTGTTCCAATTCCATTAATATTAATATGCTCAAAGCCGCATGATACGATGTATTTTTGTTAAAATTCGATATCAGATTTGTATTCAACTCGCAACTAAAGTTTTAGAGGTTAAATACCAATCGATGCTGTCATTTATCTGAACTACTGCTCCCCTGGTCACGACTAGCCAAGCATTTGGCAACCTAGCATACGGTACTTGTCGAACGTAAACATTTGGAAGTTATGACGGTCAATCATTCTATATTTTGCCAAGTTGTTTGCAGATTTTGTATAGTTGCCGTCACCGTTCTTGGCGGCTCAATGTAAGACTACCAGTATCCCTTTATACCTATATCTACATCTCCCTCATACATACACATGCAACCTACCCCTATATGTGAACGTTTGTTCTGTAAGCTCAAAGATATACGTTTTTTAGTTGAATGTCTCCGACCCGAAAACTTTGTCTTTACGTATGACAACTTACTTGACATCGACGTGCAATTCGAGTTGTCAATGGAGAAGGCCGACGGCTCGTGCTAAATTTATTAGAGTATTGTTGTTGTTTACATTGAAAATGATCTTTTGAATGTTAGAGGTTTATATATTTTTGCTGCTCTAAAATTTGTTCACTCCCGAAACAATGTTCCAACCAGCCACGCTTATGAAACAAGAACTAAAATAAATATAAGTTACACCTATACCAGAGTGAATAAATCTGTTTACCAAAAATGCATAAAGTTTGAAGGTATTAGGTTGTATAATAAATTACCCCTAGAATAAAAAATCCTCTCGAACTATAGTTTCAAAAAAAGAATTAAGAAGTTCATCTTAAATAACTTTGACATGCTTGAATCGACGGTAGCTTGACTCAAGTCAGTAATTTCGTTTCTATCTAATGTTTTTTTTTTTATTTCTTTTTTTTATATACATTTGCTCATAATATACCTTATAACCATTAGCCATGCATTGAATTTGTATATTGTATGACACACACAAGCTTATAGCTTAGGTGTCTATTATTTTGTAGTAAATTCTTTTGTAGTAAATTGTAGTACTCTTGTTTCTCTGCTTAAACTTTACGCAAAATTTGTATTGTTTAAACAACGTAGTTTGACCTTACTCGAAATATCCCTATATTATCATATTTCAGATATTCATATTTTATGTACTCTATATTTATACTTCTGAGTGTTTTTAGTATGCTTCTGTACTATTCTTATGAATTTTAGATGTTTATTCAGACACGTAATTTAGGATTTGTGACGACAAGATTCAGACATTTACCCTTTACGAAAGTATACAGAATTTTCACAATTCATATACCGTTACTTGCTGGTTCTAGGTCTGAAGCTAGTATCTTTGCTCAGATTTCTGTTGCAATCTTGGTTATTCAGGGTAGCAAGAGCATACAAGCTCATGTATTTTTGAAGCTTTTTTTTATTTAAATTGTACTGAAGGTTGTTTTTAATTTGTAAGTTATATTGGTTTTTGAATTTGAATAAACTTTGAATTTGAATAAATTTCCAGGAATAGAATGAAAACAGTGGTCTGCTGTTGCCCACTTCTTGCGTACTGGAGAGAGTAGCAGGTGCGCGAAGATTAGTCTGCGCAGTGTTCCGCCCATGGTACGGAGACTCGATCTATTTACTTATTTCATATGGCGTTGATGACGTAACCGCCAAGAACGGTGATTACAACTATACCAAATTAAATATCGTGATGCCCCTTGACAACACTTTTTAAATAGTAGTCAAGTAACCCGCGTTTTAGCTTTCATGGCTGTGCTACAACGTAAAGCATGAAAAAGGGAAGGGTCAAATTAACACGAAAACGGCATTAAATATCCAAAATTTAAATCAGCATAGTAAAATTAAATTTTTCACAATAACCAAAATACCATACAACCTTGATGCATAAAAAAGCATCCAGAAGAATAAACGGGGTTGTGAAATTTTGTGGTACCTATTCAGCTTTTTACTGACGACTCACAGTTATATCATAGTTTCAATCATGAAAATTTAGAAATTTCAGAAGCTCAAATAATAGAAAACCTCAATTCTACCGAAAATTATGCAACAGAACATAGTCTCCGGTTGAATCCCTCTAAATCCAAACTTAGTATCTTTTCTCCTAAAAATCTAAGGCCACTTATTAAAAATAATTTAAGCATTAATTTTCGTTTAGATTTTGGAAGAATATTTCGTTAAATTGTTTTCAATATTCTAGTGCTAGTTTTTTTCAATGCTTCACTAGCATAGTAAAATTAAAATTTTCACAATAACCAAAATACCATACAACCTTGATGCATAAAAAAGCATCCAGAAATACCTCCGGAAAACGTTGAAATATCCAAAATGATTAGAAATTATGGATCAGCCCTAATTTACTAAAAGAAACTACAGAGGGTGCTTCCTGGGAAATGGTATAACAGATCAGCGCTGCCTATAAAGTCAATAATGGGCGAAACAAGGAAGACACAGACACACACCTCTAAAGTAGACCGTTAACACAAAAATAAAAAATAGATCCACTTCACAACCACTTAAAATCAAAAACCAGAAGTCAAATCATTCAATTTTTTTGAACCTTTATATCAACTAAAACCATTCAAAAGAATCAAACAAGCTGGAATAGGTTGTTTCTGATAATGTCATATTGCAATAATTTGGGTTATAATGATAATAGAGTGAAGAACTAGCAGTCAGTATCAGCTGCCCCCTCTTCACTGCCATGACTCAAACGGCAAGCCTACTACTGTTTATATCACATGAAAACTGTCAAAATAATAGTTATAATAATTAGTCACAGATATGGGTATAACATACATACATACATAAATATATATAAAAAGAAAGCATTTTTACATTCTGTCAGAGGTTATTAGGAAATATTGGCCTTATTAAAAGGTAGCATTGTTTATATACACCCTCATTTTCAAAATGAAACAACCCTATCCTGTTCAAATGACATGTTGATTGAGCAGTAAGGCCTGTTTAAATGAACAGAAATAGTGTTATTGTGGGCCTTTTTGAGATCCAAACAGATGCTTTGCATAAATTTATAGACCTACCATCAATTTTATTGCCCTTATGTACTTACTGTCCAGGATACTTACAAGGCAATAAAAAGTAGAAATTTCAAGGTAATGTTTAGACTAGGCAAACAGGGCGCGCATATTTTCAAGTGCTTTGGAGTCTAATTTTAAGTTTTATGGGATTGATTATCATGAACATGAATCACATTCCTTAAAAAATCTATTGCACGCTAGTACAATATTAAAACGCCCTGTATGCCTGTAGATTTAAGAACTAAACCTCATCTCGAACTTTGACACTTGGCAATTTGTTCAACTGTTACAATTTACAAAACGCAATAATACTGAATTTAAGCCATGCACTAATTTACAATCGTTAAGCCTAATAAAGAAAACAATAATATTTACCTTTATAGTGATCAAAAAGCCCCCGTAATCCACATAGCAGTCCAAAACTAACACTGTATTCCAAAAAAACGGCGTAACTCCACTCCGCAGCACTACTTTGTTCGCACTGTCACTAACAACTTTCAGGGCTAACTGACTTTTTTAATACGCATAAATAAATACATTTACAGCTTTGGCTTCAAATTCACACTTTTGTTGGTAAACAACTTATTTTTTTAATTGCATGATATGAACATTTCGTGGTATTCCTATCGAGTATATTCACAAGATACTAAGTGAAATACAATCAGCACCCTATGCAAGTTTGAAAGTGTACATAAAAGTACCCTTAACGGCAAACATAACCTCTACATAACCACATTTTGCCGGTGTTCGCGCACTATTTAAATGATCAACAACACACTGCACTGTAAACCGACGGTAACAGACGCACTTCGAGCAAAGTCATTTAACCAGCGTTATTCCTTATCAAAACTTATGAAAACACACGACATTTTTTACGGCGAGTCGTTATTCCAAAGCACTCCTCGATCTCACTCGACAGACTGATGCGTTTTGTTCACAGCTGTGTGAGAGAGACGGCATGAGTATATAAGCGCTATGTATTTATTTTCCCCTTATATATTTCAGGTATATAAACCGTTCTACCGCCGGTTCGTATTCTGCCAGCTTTTGTGGGATAACGAGAACGAGTACACTGTTAAAAATTTCATATTATTTACAAGGAATGGGGCGGTAATTTTGTGCATTTGGATTTAGATAATATGGGAATTAATGCTGGTGACCCGTTCATGGAATTGTTAGATGGATTTTGTGTACAGGTTGAAAAATAATAATAGGACAGACAGAAACATTTCTTTGGTAAAGATGCTCATTAGCTGAGTATTTTCCAAGTCACGTGATCGGACATAGGCGTCGTGAGATTTCTTGGGCTTTGCTTTTGTATTCTATGGGGATGAAAGATAGAACCTGGCGTGTTTGGTGTTCTTTACGAAATGTATGGTTATCAGTATGTAGTCTGCTTTGCTTTTTAATTTAGCGACCGGTTCTATCTTTACTTTGACGTTGTACCTACCTACCTATACAGGGTGGTGAAGAAGTCCTATGCACCTCATAGATTTATGAAATGTAGATATTAGGTTTTAGATGAACAATGACAATTGTTGTTAAGTTCTAACACCTTAATGACCAAAATGTCGTTAGTAAACAGTATTCCAAGCATATGTGGTTTTATTTAGAGGCCATATAAACATGGAGGATTATAAGATATGCATATGGCATTTCATAGGAAATCGAGAGACCCACGGTTCTTTTTACTCTCCTAAAAGGTCGTCAGTTTTGAGTTACGCGGTGTTAGAACTTAAGCGATGACATTTAATTTCGCTTTAAGCATTTTTATGTTTTATTCGATTTGATCATGGATTTAGAACCTTTGTATTTGATTTCTAGAACTAGTCTCAATAAAGCGGTAGCATTAGGAACAAACTTAAGATTTTCCTTCTTGCAATACGTTTTTGATTGTGTTGGTTAAAACTTCTGATGGCATGATTTTGCAGTGGTAATTGCGGCAACTTCTGGGAAGTTCAGATATTGAGCTAAGAGGTCTTTGTATTTATTCAATATCATCATCCTACAAAAACTCTACCTGAAATACTTCTCACATGTTTGGGGAGTTGCTGTGAAGCATGGGTGCCTATTAGGAGGGGGGTATATGCCGATTGAGGAGTAAAATATTCTTAATCGAGTACTAGTTTCTTGGACGAGTTGCGTTTTTATTCCTTAAAACACCCCTACATAGGAACACCGCCTTAAAGAGCTATCAACCTATTTTTACACCGCAGCAACCGCGCAGAAGAAGCCTGGACGCCAGGCACCGCAACTGCTAAGAGGATCCCAAAGAAACTTTAGGTTACTAGAACTGGAAAAAGCCTCCTCTTGTAGATTGTTCCACAATCTCGACACCATAGAGACAAAGGCGCGGTCGTATCGGTCAGTTCTGGATGTACGAAGTTCGACACGGTTAGGATGGGAGGCCGAAGTCAGACAGGTGTGTCTGGCAGGCACATCGCACGACGGCATCAAGGAAGAGAGCCCTGAGGAGCAAAGTGCATAGACGTAGCGGTGGAAAGGGTCCCGCGACTGTCTGTTACAGAAGAGTAATCGATCAGCCCTCCTCTACACAGTATTGACACATAATTGTGTATAATCACAGAAAATACATACGTAAAATGCAATATAGTTTATAAATGAAATGCAAACGTATATACCTGTACATACAGGAAATGAATGAATAGATAAACAGACAAACAACAAATTCAGACACTGTATAAAAACATTCATTCAATAAAAACCGCTTCAACTCTGCTTTAAAACACTGTACATTATCACGTACAGGAAACATGTTAAACACTTTTAGGCCTAAAACATTCGGAGATCTACTACTAAAGTCGAATTTAGAATATGGAACATGGATCTAGTTTTTGCGGGTAAACTAAAAACGCTATCTATTTTTAAAAAGTATACACACACACACACACAGTTCAAAAATAAAGTGATGGCAATGTTAAAATTTGATATCTCCTAAAAATGTCCATACAGCTAGTATGAAGGGTTACTCCGGCTGTGCATCTTCTGTAAAAAAAATTTCAGCCTTATCAGTTGGACATTCCAGTTTTTATACTGCTTTTTTTTAATTCACTAACGCCCTAGATGCCTAGAGTACGGAGACCTGTACGATTTCGTCAACTTAGTGAGTTTGATAGGGGCCGAATAGTAGGGCTTCGGGAAGCTGGACTTTCTTTTCGGGTAATTGCAGTTAGAGTGCAAAAAAGTGTAGACACTGTGGTTAGGTGTTGTCAGGCAAGGCTTCGAGAAGGCCGTACGCGAAGAGCAAGGGGCACTGGACGCCGCCCTAGAACAACAGACCGTAAAGATCGCCGCCTAAGATTATTGGCCTTAAGGGACCGTTTCTCCACTACCAGGTCCATCGCAAATGAATGGTTTGCAGAACCCGGAAGACCTATTGGCATGCGAAGTGTTTACCGACGAATGAGAAGTTTTGGCTTGTTTTCATACCGGCCACACTAGGTCCTCCCTTTAACTCGAGAACACCGACGTAATCGCCTTGAGTGGTGCAGACAACGGTCACTCTGGGATCAGGAATGGAACAGTATTGTCTTTAGTGACGAGTCTCGATTTTGTTTAGGCATGCACGATGGTCGTGCCAGGGTTAGAAGGCGACGTGGTGAAAGGAGGAATCCACAGTTTTTTGTCGAAAGACATTTTGGAGTTATGGTTTGGGGTGCTATAGCTTATGGTTCCCGGTCACCTTTAATCTTCATCAGAGGTAACATGAACGCGCAGCGTTATATCCACGAAGTTCTAGAACCCCATCTTTTACCCTATCTTGACACCCTGGCAAATCCAACTTTCCAACAAGATAATGCCCGACCACATGTTGCAAGAGTCACAATAGACTTCTTTCAACATAATGATGTCACATTGTTACCATGGCCACCAAGATCTCCCGACTTATCCCCAATTGAGCACGTGTGGGATATGATGGGTAGGAGATTGCTCAATTTGCAACGTCCTCCTCAGACTCTAGAAGCACTTCGAGAGGAGTTGGTGGTTGCCTGGAATGAGATACCACAGGAGGACATTGACCACCTGATCAGAAGCATGCCTAGGCGCGTTGGAGAATGCGTAGCACATCAGGGTGCATCCACACATTATTAAAGGTCAAAGGGCTTTAAAGCAGTGCAATCATTTTGAAATTTTTATCATTTACTTATTATGCTTCATTAAGTACTTATACAAAATTTTATTAAAATAAAACCATTTAAACTGGGTGTTCGGATTTATATGTCACTTAGTATATAATGCAAGCAATTGAGGTCGCTTAAAAATAGTCTTCTAGCTTTTAAATAAATGGGACTAACTGTTTAACTTCGTTGATAAATAGTCACAACGGTTTTTGAATTTGAGGTGTTCATCAATATATAAACCCAGAAATTTTGTATTATGGCTGATCTGCATAGGGAGTGTCTTTTAGTTTTAGTTTTTTGTATGTTATGAAATCGCAGTATTGATGTTTTGTCTGACTTTGAATGAAGCTGATTCACCGAAAACCAATCATCAATTTTGTCTAACACATATTTAACAACTTTGTTTCACAGTCACTAGACATAGTGATGGATTTATCATCAGCATACAAAGTGAATTTAGCACCTGGAAAACATGTTTCAATGTCATCCACATATGGTGTAAATAAAACAGGGCTTAAAACAGAGCCTTATGCGGCAAGCCCATATTTACCTGGATCATAGTAGAGAGACACATACTGAGACATACCAAATAAAAACGAGTCTACTCAACAATAGCCAGCTGCACGTATCCCATATCCAGATATTTTCTTCAAGAGATCATCTTATGATCAACACAGTCGAATGCCTTTCTCACAAAATATCCTAAAAAGACACTCTCTTGCCTCATTGAATGAGCATGCTGTAAAGCCATCTGAGGCAAACCAAGAATATCCGAGGGAGTCCCTTCCCGACAATCTGTCCGACTTTTGAAATTCGCATATTTACCATGTCTTTTTTTTCTAAAATTATGGATTATTCGCTGAGAAAAACTTTTGTAGGTTGTTACACTTCCACGATACACGAAAAGTTTCCAAAATCTCCTGAGAAAAATTCCAACGGGTGCCTACGTGAGAAGATCCAAGGATATCCAAAGATATACAAAAAATCTGAATGGAGGAGATTTTTAATTTCACAAAGTTGTCGGTCAGTCATTCTACTTGTACAGCCCTCTAGTTATACAGGGTCGTCGTAGCGACTCACGGGTAAAAAGGTAATACAGCTTAAACGTACAAACAATACTATCTCCCAAATATAAAAGAGATGAGAATGTTCCATCTTCACAGTCTTTCCGTATTTTCCGCTCCCTTATAGGAATCGTTGATTCCCACAGTTCGTGAGAACGAAGTCCAAAAATCCACCTCGTCAGATCATTCGTAGATCTTCATGCTGCCCCGTACCAACGTCCCCTGTCTCTTTGAGCGCCGCCACTGCACCATGTCGTCAGCAGGGGACATAACGAGGAGTCGAACCGACCGATCACCCAAGGCCCTCTTATGTACGATCGC